CAATTTTCTAAAGCATTTTTGGGATGAACAAGAGTGTAATAATTACTGAGACTACATTTGTTATATCTGTAAACCACGTGATATAGCTGAGTTGCACAGGTCATTAAATTGTTGAGTTGAAAACCATCCGATCTGTATGATGATGTCATGTGTTGGTTTTGAAGTATACAAATTTTCGGAGCCCCCCCTCCTAGCGCAACAATTTTTTCAGAGCCCCCCCTTCGGGTGTCTAAAAATTTTCGGAGCCCTCCGTCAATATCTTCATCCCCCCCCCTTGTCATATTAAATGAACTTTCCCTAAGTAACGGCCTTCATCTTTCAGATTTAAAGCTTTACGACTAAATTTGTTGTAGTTTTACAGCCAACAGTTCACTCTCTTACTCTGTAAGCCTCCTGTTATTTGAGGGTTCCTTGAGTGGAGCATGGGTTTCTTGTACAAAAGCCAACCGCGTTTAATATTTATCTTTTTAAAAAATGAACACTTCGTTTTATCACCGAAAACTGTAGGTAGCAGTTATTCTTTCTTCTTTCACTTTTCCATAAAAGTAACAGACACATTTTGTGCATTTTTTGTTTTAACGTATAATTTCAAATAACGTGGGATCCCTGTGTTTAAAGCTCAAAATGTTTAACGCTTAATTTTGACATGTTCCACCGATCGGATTTTGGCGGATTTTTAGTATGTTGCTAGATAGGCCATCCTTACTTAAATAGCGTGAAAACAATTCTGTTGCAATTAGTTTGATGTTGAGCCTCGAAAATGCCTAGATTGACTGGACTATCGAACCAAATTCAGGATTTACTGATGCCTCGTAACAATTCTCCTCCTAACTCCCCGTGGGAACGCAATCTCGCCAAAATACATTAATATAATTTATGAATTTTGTTTAGCGCAGAAGAAGCACGACGTTTGAACCGCTGCTGTGCCAGAGCCGTGTAGCACGGCAGCGCTTGTCAAACTTAATAATTGCTTGTCGAACTTAATTCAAAAGTTTGATTTAGACGCCGTGCTTCTGCCGTGCTTTTGTCGAACTTAATTCCTGAATTTAGTTCGGCACGGCAGAAGCACGACGTCTGAATTGGGCCTTAAGACTGAAATGTACTACTGTTGGCTTTCCTGAACAATTTTGAACGAATAAGCACAAAACGTTAAAAAGACAAATGATTTAATGCGGATAACTGTTACTGTTACTAACCTAACCCAAAACACTTGTATAATCGTAATCATGTGGTACAGTCGGAATAAGGAACAGCTCAAGTCTGTAGAAGAACACTTTAATGTACCTCCAAGTGAAAACATTCCCACGCTAATGCTGGAGCAGATGGATCATCATAATACTGGCAGTTGACTGTGCCTCCACCAGGCTTTGACCATGAATCGACTCTAGTCCCGTCTAAGCGAATATAGCAGTGAGGAAAATGAACATTTCGAAATGAGTAGCTGCCATTCGTTTCTTGTCTGAGATAATAGATTTCTTAGGCGTTCGCAGTAAACTGGCAATTTACTTCACCTCCTCCAGGGTCCATACATTGTTTCATACCCTGGCTGTCCATGCGAATAAACACCTGCCGGAAATGTGCACTTTCTATCACCACCTTGTAGGTTGTTTGGAGGGCTAATGAAGGAGCCATTTCAACAGGGTATATGTAAAAGCTTTCCCAAAGCGATGGTGGCTTGTACTGGCAGTTCACAGTACCGCCTCCAGCTTCTTCCCATTGAGTTACTCTTGTGCCGTCACATCGAAGGTAGACATCGGGGAATCCTACAGACCTCAGCGTTTTTTTCTTCAGGCCATTCATTCGTTTCAGAAAACGGGAAATCATCTCGCGTGTGAATCGTGGAGCGAAGTTATGACATCCACCATAGCTGTGAATCGCGAGAACAGTCCAATAATCACCGTACCAGGTGTAGAATGGGCTGCCACTTTGTCCGCCCATTGGATCATTCATGTAGTAAATCCTGTTGGCTATGTGGCTCGCGATTACCCCTCCTGTAATCCACATGGTTCCTGCTGGCTTGTCACATGGATACCCACAGTTGGTTACCATGCGGTTGTTTAGCTTTTCATCCGGTATGATCGCTGACCAACCGAAGCCATCGTCAGAAGTCCCTGGAAGGAGAATAAGGCCATAGCCGTGGTCTCTATCGCCTGTGTTGATGTACTCGGGTGATGCATAGATGTCGTTTGCTCCAACGTTAACCGGTCGCTGTCCTGGGAATGTCACGGTGATCTTGGTAGCGTACGCTCTCTCCTCATACATGTACGTGCAGTGGCCGCTAGTGACAACAGCTGTACGATCGACGTCAGGGAGATGGATCTTGAATCCACTACCTCTAGATATCCCACCATTGGCGCTCTCTATTAACAGAGAGCAAATCCATTTGTATGGAGAAGAGGTCATTGGATCTACTTGCACTCGTTCATCCTTTCCGCAGACGCTCTCAGGTAAAGATGAACCTTGCACTGCTGGCAATTCCATCCTGGACTTGATTCTAGAGCAGTTCCGTGCGTGCTTGTAACCTAGTGAGGTTAATACGTCATTAGTCAAGAGAAGAGGTTTCTCAGAATAAATTAAATTATTTACTTAATTAAATTGATGACCTGATTTGCTCTTGTACATGAGCAAATCAGCAACAAGCAATGTTAAATTGAAACAATGAAAGGACTACAATACTGCAAACTAAAAATCAACTAAGAAAGAGAACTACCGGTATTTACTAAACAACACAGAGAACTAGACTGGTGATGAAACAAGCAATTCAGAATAATAGTATGAGATGAAAGCCCGCCAATCATCTAACAGGCTAATGGCTAATTAACTGTAGAACAACAAATTAGAGAGCAGGACAAGTACAGATAAATTTAAAACACAAAATATAATTATAGTAACAACCTTCCTAGCAGTCTTTGCAACTGAAAAGTTTTAAAAGCTAAAAATTATGTCAATTTGAAGCCAAGGAGAATACTAAGCCATATGAAAAGAACTCAGCATAAAATGCACCGCTTGCTAATTGTAGTCGAACTCACGTAGTTACGTCATAAGTCATGTGTCACCACAGCCTAAAATGCGTATTGACTTACTGGGAAGAAAAAAGCTTTGTTATTACGTAATTGTAATAGAATGACACTGACTACTGTGTTTTATATCTTTGCATGTTGTTTCACTTGTTGATTGAAAGACACGAAAAAGTTGTAATTTCAATTAACGTAACATCCTGAAAATCCCAAAAAATTAATACCCAGCAAGAAAAACCAATCTTTTACAATCGCAAAAACTGGTTCCTGAAAAATACAAAAAAAAAAAATACTCGCCTGTCCGAAAAATTAAACATCCGCAAAAATTTCGTGAAAAACAGTACAACAGTCCGAATAGTCCTGCCCTTTAATAAAGACCAGGATTCAAAATTTAGTGCGCAAACAACTTTGAGACCTAACGGTGAAGATTCAACCGGTGTACGTTAGAAACAAGATCCAACAGGTGCTTAATAAAAGAAAAAAACACATAATTGTAAACCAGCAGTGTGTAGTCTATAAAACTTCCAATGCGACTTGTGCAATGCAAGAATGTTCAATCTGTGAACGATAAAAACTCCGTGAAATTACAGGATAAGAAACTTAAGAGCCAGTTTTAGCGTATATTTGGCTGTTGCGTGATCGCCTGATCGGCTCGACGACAGAAAGAATAAATGGAACATAACAGTGGTCCAAAAGCTGGGCACCTCAAGTCCAGTGAATGAGAAAACAAAATAAAAATATTCTACTGCAGTACACTAGTGTTCCAAAGAGTTACTGTTATTTTCAGAATTAATCTGCATTAAACATCTAATAGTCACTGACCCTTGGCAGCCAATCTATTTCTGTCAATGATTCTAAGAGCTTTAACTCATAATAAAGTAAAGCATAGTTATGTAAAGCAAGTCTCGGGTTTGGTTTTTTTCTGATGTTTTGAGCCCTGATTTAAAAAAACTTAATCTCGGTAATTAAAATCAGTCTCTGTCTCGTATTTCAAGACAGCACTCTGCATTAAAGCGAAAATTCCCTACAGTGTTCTGTAGCCTTGCAAATATGCTGCAATTAGTTAGAAGAATTCAATTGGGAGGCAAAACAAGATGAACACCTAGAATATTCCAGATTTTATCATCATATGCAAGTGAAGCATGGAAGTCGAATGCTGAATCCGCCAGCAAGTATTCCGGCAAAGCGCGCACAATATGTTACCTACACTTTTTTACCTACACTCTTATCAAGAGTATAAGCGACGTGCGCCGATCTTATCCTTATTCGGGCGAGTTAGGAACTACTTGGCTTTTTACGCAGTGCAGGGGTCTCACTGCCTCCGCTAGTCTCAGATTTCCGGCCCTATTCGCCATCCCTATAGATATTTTAGTGGCTCGACGACTCAGCGACTTGCACAGACGCGCTGAATGTTAAAAGGCGACAAATGTAGGTATGTTAAAGGTTGGGCATCTTGAAGGAAAGAGGAAATGGGTTCATTTTAAGTTCTTGTCTTACTAGACGAGCATTGACATTCTACTCAGTGACGGGCCGACGAGCCATCAAAAGATCTATGTTAGTAGCATACTGGACTAACAAGGATATGAATAGTCTGAATTCTGCTGACGGTCTAAGAAGCTACCTTAATAGTTAGTCTACCTAGTAGAAATCGACTGACGAGCCGACGAGGAACTGAGTAAAAAAAGCTAATAACTAGACATATAGCACTGTATTTTTTAGTAATGCCGCTTATAGCAAAGTTCACTTCAAACGTCTTACCTGAAAATAACAACGAAGGAAAACTCCGCCAAAGCTTACCAATTAAACTCACACGAATTAGCTACATCAAATATGGAGTGAAGCTTAACAGTGAAGTATTAACATTAACATTTTAGTGGGAGTATATTCCAGATTGTATCATCATATGCAAGTGAAGCATTGAAGTCGAATGCGGAATCCGCCCGCAAGTATTCCGGCAAAGCGCGCACAATATGTTACCTACACTTGAATTATCAAGAGTATAAGCGACGTGCGCCGATCTTATCCTTATTCGGGCGAGTTAGGGACAATATTTGGCTTTTTGCGCAGTGCAAGGGTCTCACTGCCTCCGCTAGTCTCAGATTTCCGGCCCTATAGATATCTTAGAGACTCGACGACTCAGCGAGTTGCACAGACGCGGTGAATGTTAAAAGGCGACAAATGTACGTATTTTTAAGGTTGGGCATCTTGAAGGAAAGAGGAAATGGGTTCAGTTTGAGTTCTTCTCTAGTGACCACCGTTGACATTCTACTCAGTGACGGACCGACGCCCCGACGAGCCATCAAAAGATCTATGTTAGTAGCACACTGGATATAAAGAGTCTGAATTCGGCTGACGGTCTAAGAAGCTACTTTAATAGTTAGTCTACCTAGAAATCGACTGACGAGCCGACGAGGAACTGAGTTAAAAATGGTAATAACTAAACAAAAAGCTCTGTATTTTGTAATAATGCCGTTATATCAAAGTTCACTTGAAGCGTCTTACCAGAAAACAACAACGAAGGAAAACTTCGCCAAAGTTTATCAATTAAACTCAAGCGAACTAGCCACACAAAATATGCAGTGAAGCTGAACAGTAGAGTATTAACATTAACATTTGAGTGGGAGGCTGAAACACAAGTGCTTAAGGGGAAGTCACCTAGGGGGTCTGCGGGCATGCCCCCCTTAAAATTTTTAATAAGCGCAGTGCTAAACAATTACAAACTTCCAGTGTTTAAAAAGCTATGTTTGTAGACCTTTTTTGAGATTTGTCCAGCGGTCTATGAGTTAACTTTCATATTCCACATTAAAATAGACAAGGGATCTAATGTTTTTCCCTCAACAAAATTCAACCTATAAAAGCTGAATAAAAGCCATATCAATCACAAAGGAAATTAACAGTTGCAGCTGACCTTTGCTGGTCTTGAAAGTAAATGCCTTTAAAGTTCAGTCTTTTAATAGGTTATGATTGTTCTCCAGTCTCGATTTGAATTCTCCTTACTTAGTGCGCGCGTTGTTCTTGAAAAAATTGTTTATCTTTGTGGGAAAACCGCCGCCGCTGTACGATTCTAAATTTAGCCCGAAGACCGAAAAGCCAAAGATGTTCTTATGTGCTTGGCGCACACTAATCTATCCGTGGCATGATATCAGACTGGAGTTTGCCATCAAGGTAAACGAGCAACTCCTGAAGAAGATCTATGTGGTTCTTCTATTACTTTTTGTCTGTGTTACTAGTTTGTCTCTCTACTAAAAAAAGGTGGTTGTGGGGGTGGGGTGCTTATATGCTGTAACATACCATTTTATGTGGGAATGTAACGAACCTATGCAGTAGGTTGAAAGGGGTATTAGAACTACCATAAAATGTCTTTCCTTGCTTCCTGTATGTATCGCATTTCTTATGTTGAACGTCGTTGTCTAGTTTGATGCCTCTTTAAATTGATTTTCGCGAGTTTTAACCTCACTTTTTTCTTTTCTAGATATCATTTATTCCATCCAATTTCTGCTGGGTTAATCCCACCCTAAACGTTCATGTCAAACGGTTCTTACATTTAATAATATCAGACAGTCTAACTCGCAAATTAAGGCCAAACTTGACAGATCGTTTCGTTTACATCATTTCCAGCAGTCGCCCACAGCTATTAAAGTATTTTCAGTGTCATACATCGCAATCCTTCAAAAGAACCAGTCGATCGAGAAACACGAATCGCCTAAGGAATTATTCATCCCAGTGATCAAGCCAATGGGAAGCTAAAGCTGATTTGATATTATTTCGAACGACTAGACAAGGCAATTAGTACTTTCAAGTATGTTTCCCGCAATAAAGGGCTGGTTTGTTTTTTCACAGAATAAAAAATACAGTGGAGCCCGGTTAAGACGGACACCAAAGAGACATGCAAAAGAGTCCGTAAAGACTAAAACATACAATTTAAAAGTAACAGATCGAGGTTTTGTCATGTCCTGGCGAACACGTTTAGCCCAGAAGTAGGACATCTTCCACACTTTCAAACACAAAGGAAAAACATTACTTCACTCTGTCAACCACGGTAAAAACTTCGTGAAATTCCAAGATAGGAAGCTTAAGAGCAAGCTGCCAAAAGGTTTAACGTATGTTTGGCTGATGCATGATCACGTGTCCGGCTCGACGACAAAAAAATAAATGAAACCTAACTGGTCAAACTGACTGGGCACCTCAAGTCCAGTGAATAAGAAAACAAAATAAACAGACTCTACTGAAATGCGCTGTTCCAACGAGTTACTATTCTTTTCAGAAATAATCTGCAGCAAACATCTAATAATCCCTGACCCTTTGCAGCCAATCTATTTCTGTCTATAATTCTGAAGAACTTTAACTCAAAATGCATTAAATACTGACATCGTCATGCGTCTCGAGCTTGGATTTTGCATCGTTATGTAAACAAGTCTCGGACTTGATCACTGGGACGGATAACTCCTCAGGCGATTCGTGTTT